ATTTTTCACAACACAATCAGATATTGTTTCCTTTCTGTGGCTGGAAATGTGGTCACGTGCCCCTGCTTTCCTAATGGCACAGTTGCATCGATATGTATTGCGTTAAATGCGGCGGTTGGACAGGGAAGCCCTGCTTACTACATTTGCTGAACTATAAATAGATATATGCAAGCCGTAGTTGAATTTATATCTTAAGGAGAGAGGGGAAGGGAAGCTAGACTAATATTCTTAACCATGTTTGCAGCCCAGATATGAAGGTTTGCCAGTATGCTTGCTGTTGAATTTGAGAAGGAAGAACGTATGTATGTGCGCGTCTTTCAATTTTTCTGCATTGGAAAAATGTTTTTACATTATGTGGCTGATCAGCAGCATGGTTTTTGCTTCTCCTAATTATGTTTCTGATATTCAGCACAAAAGGAGGTCAGGAAGACTCCTGCTCTGCTGGCTTTCCGTAAACGATGCAAAACAGAGAACAAACTTTTTGTCCAACAGCACCTGGACACAAGCTTTGGTCTGTTGCTTAGGATTGCCATCTTCCTGGTGGAGCCCAATCCACTGCCAGCCAGCTGGCTGGTGGGGAACCCCCACCCCTAAACAAGGACATCACTGGTTGTGACATCATCGTGCTGGGGGCATCGTACGATGACACACTAGCCTTCGGGGGGAGAACTCTATGGTTACCATAGAGTTTTTGCACCAAACGCTAGAGCGCTGCCGCCCAACGGCCCTAGTGTGCTGTATTGGGACTCATTGGGACTTTTCTGCCAGCATGATGACATCACTGGTAGTGACGCCCTCGCACCGGCAAAAAAGTCCCAATGAGCAGCCGGGAGGCCCTTCCCCCGCTGCAAGTAAGGTGAGACCTGGCAACCCTACTGTTGCTTCAGGCCAACACTGATGCCTACCTGAATCTATGCAGAATGAAATTATTCGGGAGGGGTTTTTTGAACAGGCAATAGGGTTGTACTGCACAAAATGGTTCACAGCTTATTTGGATAAATTATTAGGGATTGTGGCACTATGGACTTCCTTGGTGGTCTCCCATCCAAGTACAAACGTGGACTGACCCTGCTTAGCTTCCAAGATCTGGTGAGGTCGGGCTAACCTGGTCCAGACAATGTCAGCATTTCCCAAACAATGATACATGCTAAGTTCTATCTGCTTTCTGTCTCTGTGCCTTCCTAAGGCTTTCATTACAGACTGGGCATGTGATATAGTGCAGAACTGGATCACAAACAGGCCATGACGACAGAGGCCCTTCTATATCTGTAGCCTGCGTCTGGTTTATGAAGTCTAGACTGCCACCATAGTAATTAGCCATCTAAATAGAGATCTATCTTTTCAAAATACACTACTTATGCTAGCGGTGGTTCTCTTGGCACCTTATGAAACCTACGCAGAAGGACGTTGCATTGGATTATGTCTGCGATGAAGCAGACAGGGTTTCGGTTGTCTTTTGCATCTGAATTGGTGTGTGTTTGTTTTTTGTTGGGGTAAAGGTCTAAGTGATTTGAACTTTGCATGTGTACATTTTTCTCTCACCAGCTTGACCCCCTTTCTAGAGTTCTCCTAGGATAACAATTGATCTCCAGACCAGAGATAAGTTCACTTGGGGAAAAGGCGGCATCAGGGGCAGAGTCCATTGGCACCGAATCCCTGCTGAGTTTCCTGCATTCCCCAGGCTCCACCCCCAAACCTTCAGGGGTTTCCCAACATGGAGTCGTCAACACTGCTCCTTCACTACCTTACTCCAATTCTGATTCTAGGACTTGTTACAACTTTCCCCATTCTACTTTCTGCGCAACAGGTTAAGTTTGCAAGTGGTAGAACTCATGCACAGTTGTAAACTGCTGGGATGTCCTTTTTTAATGCCCCTTTCACTAGGGAGAAGGAGGAGCTACCTCCGGAGCCACTTCTTCTCCCCAGCGACAGCGTTTAATCAATCTTTTAATTAACTAATCCGTTCAGGAGAAAAGCCTCCTCTTCTTTTAAGTAGGTTTGCAAATAGGAAGGCTCTGGGACTACTTTCCTTTTGCTGTGGTGGTCTTGGTCCTACTGGGGTGGTGGAGGAAAGTCCTCTCAAGTTAGAGCCGACTCCGAGTGACCGCGTAGAGTTTTTAAGGCAGGAGGGGTTGAGAGGTGGTTTGCACCAGTGGTTGCCTTTGCGTAGTGACTAGAGGTGTGCAATTTATTTATTTATTTATTTTGGCTTGGGGTTTTTTTGGTTTGGGATTCCTGGGGTGGGGGGAAATGGACCTTAACACAGGTAAAGTATTTTGATCCAGGATTTTTTTGTAAATCCTGATTTTTTACAGGTCCAATAGACCCAAACCGGAAAACACCAAGGTGGCTAAAAACAGCTGAGAGGCTTTTGGGTTGCCCCTTTAACCCGGAGTGCCCAAAAGAACTCACCAAGAAATCGTTCCTCTAGGTGTCACATGTTTCTGAGAGAGATCTGTTTTGAGGCTGGAGTGAAGAACAGATCACTATCACTAATTTTATGGTGTTTTTCCTTAGACAGCAGAGCGATTGAGACACTTCCTTGTCAAAGGCTTTATTGTGGAAAAACACGGCTCAGTTTGGTTATTTATGTTCATGTTCAAAGATCTCGGCTTTGTGTGAGAGGACTCTCTTGATTTGTGTCTCTGTGTTCAGCCAACCCGCATGAATAAAAGTTTGGAATCAAGTTTAACGGTGTGGTTTAGATGGGCAGATACAAGCATGCCGATTGGTATCTGATTCTAGAAACATGCTCTAGGGAGAAAAATAGGTCAGTCGATAACTTTTGAAATAGTTTGCCTGAAAGCCTTACTGTGCATTCTGTGGGAGATCTGTGGTGAGATCTCATGACATTTTTTAACTTAACTTTTTAACTTAATTAAAAAAAAAAAGCCTAATTCAGTAAGGGCTGTGGGATTCAGAGGAGGAAATTTTAATCCTTTTCTCCATTCCCTCACAAAAGTTCCTTCGCCCTACTCCCTGGTTAATTGGGAAATTGTAGAAACGGAAGGGTTGAATTCACTGTCTCCGCTGCAGTCCCAATTTAATTTGGATCCCCAAAGCAGCTTTTTAGCATGAAAGAGATCTACAAGAGATCTCCTTATTCCCCCCCCCCAAAAAAAATGATGTATTGGCCTTACCTTAGTTCTCACTGACATGGTTTATTGTACCACATCACATTGCGGGTTTAAATGCTTTTCACAGAAAACCACAATACCAGGCTAGAGCCCTTTTTCTGAAAATCTAGTTTTTTATGAATGAACACTCGATGGACACATGAAAAATTTCTGAAAAATTTGACGCTATGGGGGAGGGGGGCTTCCCCCCCAGTTGTTGCTTTATTTCCTGGGGAAAACCAACAGAGATTTTGGAAACAATTGAAATATTTGCAATACTCATCCTATCAAACTAAACTAATTCGATCAATTTACCAACAGAAATGCATCATTTATAACATGCTTAGCATATAAAATTGCAACAGCACTTTCCACCCCCACCCCCCAAGGAGTATGTGGAGACTATATTGCTATCTAATCATGTCTGTGCTTTTTCGGCTGGCGGGGAGAAAACTGGCAACTTGTCCCTGCGAAAGGCCAATGGATCCTTTTCAGCCACGGGATCCATTGAGATTGACTAGATTTAGGTCTCTCCTTGCTATCTGGAACAGATCGGCTGGAAGGTATTCTCCCTTAACACGATGGTGACGAAAGATCTCTGATGTCATTGTCATGAACTCTTGAGCTATGCCTGTCTGGACATACCACAAACATTCATCGCTTGAGTTATCCTAGTTCCCTCCTGCTGTTTTAAAGATACCAGCTTCCACCTAAGCCAGGGAGCTAGACAACATTTAGAAGTGGGGTCAAGGTTGCGAAGAGACGGTGTTAAGACCAGTGGTGATCTAGCTGTTGTTGCACCGGGTCAATCACTGTTGAGTTCAATTGGAAAATAACAAGAGTTAGGAATAGTTTCTTGATGTCTGAGGATGGACTATCCTTGTGAAATTTCTAGACACTAATTGAGTAACAGGTGTCTGTAACAAGGATGTCATTTGGGGGATATGCTGCTGCCCAACATCCCTTGAATCCAAAGCATTGTGAAACACTGGGATAGACCTATAGTCATCATGGTGACCAGGAACACCTCAAGTGGTTTAGACATTGGCTGGGTCCTATTGTATGATTGGGAAGGCACATGATGCAGCAAAGCTGAAGCCTATCAGATCTGGGTCTGGAAGGGATACCACATGTAAGCCACCATGTGTTCCATGATGGGAAAAGGTGAGGCATAAAGAAGATATGATATTGCCACAGAGCTATAAGCCTGGAGGACTCCCATTCAAAACCAGAGGGAAACACAAAACTTTCCCAAAGAAATATTGCAGAAGAAAATGGGGGGGGGGGGGGCAAAGATGTGTACAGCAAAACAAATATTAACTATATTATAATACGTGTTTGGTGTAGAGGTTTAGGAGCGCAGACTCTAATCTGAGAGAATCGGGTTTGAGTCCCCACTCCTCCATATGCAGCTGCTGGTGTGACCTTGGGTCAGTCACAAGTTTTTTCCAGAGAGCTGTTCTCTCAGGAGCAATTCCGGAAAGAGCTCTCTCAGCCCCACGCACCTTACAGGGTGTCTGCTGTGGGGAGGGGAAGGGAAAGGAGATTGTAAACCCCTCTGAGACTCTGAGTAAAGGGTGGAGTATAAATCCAGTCTCTTCTTCTCCTCCTCCTCCCTCCTCCTCCTCCTCTTTCTTCTCCTCCTTCCTGTCTGAAACCCAAACCCAGACTTTACAAGCAAGGGGGCAGTCAGTCATGGTGTTTGTTCTTTAGCAGGGACAGATGGAATCTCTGAGGCTGGGGTTCCCAACATTTTTGAGCCTCCAGGCACCTTTCGGATTCTGACACAGGGTGTTGGGTGCCGCCACAAAAAATGGTTGTTGTAGGAGGTTGAGCCAGCCACAAAATGGTGGAGAGGAAGGCTACGCATAATTCTGATGCATATCTCTTCAACCTTTCAGGCAGAAGCTCTGTTTAATAGGGTGCCTTTTAAAACGAACATATTATTTCCAAATACTTTTCTTGCTCACACCTTCGGTCGCACGGTGAAGATCCTTGTGAAGTGGTGGCAGGAGTGGTGGCAGCAGCATAACCAATCAGAAGCCCTGCTGGAGAAAAGCCCCACCTGGCTCCTCCCACTTTCTAAAAATACCTTTCATGTGCCAGGAAAGGTGGCGGCCACCATGGTGCCCCCGCGGGCTTTGTGTTGGAGACCCCTGCTATAAGATCTTGAATTTCCAAG